TTTCTGTGAGCTTTTTGACGATCCCTTAGCGGAGCTGGTTGAACTTAAACAAGGCACTGACTCAGTGGTCGATTACCTGGATAAGTTCGAGACTGCTAGGATGAGATTTTTCCTACCAGAAGCTCATGCTCTCAGCATCTTCTTAGATAACATGAACCCTCACCTGTAACTTCACACACAACAGTTTGAGGTTACTACCATCGCTGGCGCTGCTAGGATTGCTATGCTACACGAGTCATCTCTACTTCACACACATGTGAAAAACTCAAGAGCTCCCTTCAATCCTACCCAAAAGCACACCAATACCCCCTACTCCAAGTCCTCGAGTACACCGGCTATATTACCCTCTCCAGTAGCTCAGAAACCACTGCAAAAGTCAGGTCTTGTTCCTAAGAGTGACAAAAAACCGAGGAAATATTTGTATCAGGAGATGCAAGATAGGAGAGGAAAAGGGTTATGTATGTTTTGTGTCGAGCCATACACACCAGGATATCATCTCAAACATAAGCTCTCTCATATCTTTATCATGGAGTGTGATGATGATGAATGGGAGTCATCAGATGAAGAAGATCTTATGCTGGCTGATAACGTAGCTGATAACAATGCTGACAAAGCTCATGTTATCTCTGTCGATGCATTGAGTGGCTCATCTACGTTCAACTGTATGAGAGTCATAAGCTACAGTGGTAAGCAAAAGCTATACATCCTGATCGATAATGTAAGCACCCATAATTTCCTGGATCTGAAGGTTGCTAACGAGCTAGGATGTTTGCTGGAAGCTATGAACCCCATGCCTATTACAGCCGCTTGTGGGAGTACGATGACAACATTTTACAAGTTTACTGACTTCATTTGGGGTGTTCAAGGGTACAAGTATTCAGCAGAGGTGCATACCTTACCTCTAGAATGCTGCGACCTTGTGTTAGGTGTACAATGGCTCTCCACACTTGGTTCCATTTTATGGAATTTTTGCGTCCCCAGAATGGAGTTTATGTTGAATGGAGTCAAGAATGTATTATGTGGTGTCAGTAAAAACGGCTGCAAAGTGGTTAAAGGTGGAACACTCAACAAACTCATGCTGCAACAACCACATGTATCGTTTTTGCAACTGCGTGAGATCACTAAGGAAGGTGAGTTAACACTCGAGCCTCATGCTCTACTGTCACATATATCTACTGGTGCTGATAATATGTCAGAAGATCCTGCTTTGCAAGAACTACTTTCAGAGTTCGCCATGCTATTTGAGGAACCTACTGAGCTTCCCCCATTCGGAGCTGGTTTCGATCATAAAATCCCAGTGGAGGTTGGTTCCAACCTTGTCAATCTGCGGCCCTACCGATACTCTTTTTTATAAAAGGATGCTATTGAGGGGATGATTGAGGAGATGCTTACACAGGGGATTATACAATGTAGCTCAAGCCCTTATACATCTCTGATTGTGCTGGTCAAGAAGAAAGACGGCAACTGGCGTTTGTGTGTAGATTTTCGAGGTCTTAACAAGCAAACAATTAAGGACAAGTACCCCCATACCCTTACTAGAAGACTTACTTGGCGAGTTGGGCGGTGAAAAGGTCTTCTCTAAGCTTGATTTAAGAGCAGACTTCCACCAAATCAGAATGCTACCTGACGACGTGTACAAGACAGCTTTCAAAACCCACTCCGGTCACTATGAGTACCTGGTTATGCCCTTCGGGCTCACCAATGCGCCTTGTACTTTCCAAAGCTTATTGAACCACGTCTTTCAGGGAGTTCTGCGGCGGTATCTGCTGGTGTTTTTTGACGATATACTTGTCTATAGCTCCTCGTGGGAGGAACATCTAATGCACTTAGGGGAGGTATTTGCGATTTTACATCAAGAAAAACTGTTTCTTAAGCCGTCTAAATATACCTTTGGTGCCTCGACTATAGAGTACCTGGGACATTTCATCTCGGGAAACGGAGTTAGCACTGATCCAAGTAAGATAGGGCTATTGAGCAGTGGCCTACACCGGTTACACAGAAACAATTAAGAAGTTTCTTGGGCTTAGCAAACTACTATCAAAGGTTCATTAGGGGGTACAGCATTATTGCAAGACCTCTAACCGTTCTACTAAAGAAAGAGGGGTATGTTTGGGGACAAGATTCAGATAGCGCCTTCAACGAACTGAAACAAGCTCTGTCATCCTCCCCAATCCTCGCCCTCCCTGACTTTGAAAAGACCTTTGTAGTAGAGACTGACGCATCCAACACGGGATTGGTGCGTTTCTGATGCAGAAGAATCACCCAATATGCTTCATCAGTCGTGCTTTGGGTCCTCGACACCAGGATCTATCAATTTACGAGAAGGAGCTTTTAGCGGTGGTTCATGCGGTTCAGACCTGGCATGCTTACTTATCCCACCGGTCATTTGTTATTAAAACAGATCAGCAGAGCCTAAAATTTCTGATGGAGCAGAAGATAACTACACCGTTTCAGCACATATGGTTGTCCAAGCTCATGGGGTACACATTCGAGATTCGTACCGTCAGGGAAAAGAAAATGTAGCTGCAGATGCCCTGTCCCGCGTTTGTGGTTCTCAACTACTACAGATCACTCTCTCTCACTCTCATGAAGGGTTCTATGAATCCATAAAGAAACTGTGGGAGACTGATCTCAACCTCAAGAAGACAATATCAGAGATTACCACCAACAAATCCTCTCATCCTTCCTTCACGTTTGTTAATGGGGAGCTGAGAAGGAAAGGCAAATTAGTAATTGGTGATGATAAGGGGCTTAAACTTCACATTCTGAAATGGCTGCATGATTCTGCTCTATGGGGTCACTCGGGCAGGGATGCTACTTTGCAGAGAATCAAGTCCCTTTTCTACTGGCCTCGAATGAGCTTGGAAGTACAGAAATACGTTTGTAACTACTCAGTTTGTCAGAGGAATAAGAGTGACCTGGCAGCAAAACCTGGTCTGCTACAGCCACTTCCAGTGCCAACAGGAGTTTGGGAATCAATCAGTCTTGACTTAGTCGAGGGATTTCTTCCGTCTGCAGGTAACATTGTATCATGGTAGTTGTCGATAGATTGAGCAAAAATGCCCATTTCATTTCTCTTTCTCATCCATACACGGCCATGGAAGTAGCTCAGGCGTATATTAACAACGTTTTCAAGCTACATGGGATGCCCAAGGATATAGTCAGTGATAGGCATCCAACATTTCTGAGTGATGTCTGGCAGGAAGTGTTTAATGTTCAGGGTGTTGAGCTGAAGCACTTCACATCCTACCACCCTTAGACAGATGGACAGACCGAAGCCACCAACAAAACCCTTGAAACCTATCTCCGATGCATGACAGCATAGACGCCTAACTCTTGGAGTAAGTGGTTGTCACTAGCGGAGTGGTGGTACAATACCACATACCACGCTGCTATTCACAGCACACCATTCGAAGTGGTATTTGGACAGCCTCCTCCTCTTCACATGCCTTATCTACCGGGTGAAATCTCTTCTAGCTCAGTGGATTGCAGCCTCCAGAAAAGAGAAGAGGTCATCAACATGATGAAGTTTCACATTATCCGGGCAAGGAATAGAATGAAGTAAGCTGCTGATGCTCACAGATCTGAACGCACATTTTCTGTTGGGGACTTTGTGTACTTTAAACTTCAACCGTATAGGCAGCACTCCCTAAAAGACAAGAAACTCCCACACAAGCTGTCTCCGCGTTTCTATGGACTGTTCAGAGTTGTCAACAAGGTTGGCCCTACAGCTTACAAGTTGAAACTCCCAGCTTAAGTAGTCATTCATGATACTTTTCATGTTAGTCAGCTCAAGCTATGCCCAAACCCTCCGCAGACAACACCGATCTTACCACAGTACTACCGTGATCTCGGCACATCTAAGGAGCCTGAGAAATTATTGGAGAAGAAGATGGTTAAGCATCACAATGCTGCGGTTACTAAGGTCCTTGTGCAGTGGAAAGGTTTTCTCCCAGAGCAAGCAACATGGGAATTCTATACAGATTTCATCGCCAAGTACCCACATTTTGATCCTTGAGGACAAGGATTCTCTGAAAGAGGGAGTATTGTAACAGCAACCCACCTGCAACTCCTTTATCTTTTATTTCATCTACTAGCCGTTAGGCCTCTTTTTAAAAATAAGTCCGGTTATGTCAACCCGGTTAAACCCTCATGTCAAAGTCAGTTTATGGTCAAATATTAGACTAGTCTTAGTTTCCCTTTAAGTACTAAACTTTTTCCTTTGTGAACGTTAAGAAATCTTATCATAAACCTTATCTTCTTAATCTCTCTATTTTCACCATCGTCATCCTATCCATCACGAGATCTTGTCCTTCGAGGTGGTCTTTCTACTCTAGTGGCTACTTTCTTGGTTTGGTTTCCCCTTCTTAGAACTCACAAAGAGTTTCTAGTATGGTTTTATATCTATCGTTACTAATACTGTCTCTGAGAGAGAGAGAGAGAGAGAGAGAGAGAGATTAGGATGATGCAAGGTGGAGAGGAAAGGTGGTGACGAGGAAGACATGAAGTGGACGGAGACATGGTGGAGATGGGTGAAGACCACGAAGGTTTAAATCTTTTTCTTTGTGACTTTTTTTGTTAATACTAATTTCTAACTCTTTTAAATAGATTTTTTTTTAGATCATGGATATTTCTTCGGCGCCTGTCCAATTTTTACTTAAGTCTCGGCGGAAAATCTAATTTTAGATTCTCGCCTACTAAAAGTTTCCATAGCGTTTATCTAATGTTATTATAGAATTCGAAATTTTCAAACTCATTTAAGATAACAGTTCAGTAGAACGAGCTATAGTATCGTGGTATGAATGTTAGACTTTTTTGTAAAGTCAATTTTATTACTATATATAACCCTCACTTCCTACTTTTTCTCCATCGTTTGAAGAAGAAGAATACCCTCACTTGTTTTCTGTATCGTTTCTTCGAAACCGAATACATACAAGTAATTTTTTTAGGCGGGAGGAATATATGAGACTTTCCTCCTTCATAACTTTCTCCGCTGAATAAGGCAACGTAAATGACATACAATCAAGAACAAGCGGATAATAATTCAGCTTTATGTTTTATCTTGTTATTCACGTCACCCAAAACATTACACGGACACGATGTTGGTGTATAAGATATCGTATCTGTCAGACGTACTTAAGACAACTTCTCCACAAGTATATATCAAACAACAAAAAGGCATAACCTAAACCGTTTCGCACCTCTAGGCTCTGAGAACCTGAAATGAAGATGACAAGATCCTGAAGAGGCCATCCGGGTTATCGGTATGAACCTGAAAAAAACAAAACCCAAATACCGGTTTATCAGTTAGGAGGTAATAGGTAACATAAAGCAAGATGAAGCAATGTAGTAGAAGCAGAGGTTAATTTTACCCAGTGACCGGCATCTTCAAGGACATGCATTTCTACGCCGCCTCCTTCTTCAGAGGCGAGCTCTTCAGCGGCGTGGATCCGTTGAAGGTCTTCTAGTGCCCAACGGTGCAAGCTTCTTTCCGCTTTAAGAAAATTCACGTGTACTCCTCTTGGCAGGTTCTCAACAAAGTTCCTTTTTTATTTTGTGAAAAGCAATATTTTACCAGTTTGAGTATAGAATATAGATAGGCAAAGTATAACACAAGTTTGGTCCCACTAAAACAAACGGAGGTTTACCATAGATTTGTGTCTTCGTAGGACTGATAAAGTTGAGAGATCCCGTCCAAGTCAAATGTCCACGAGAAGCTAGAGCACGATGGTCCAGTAGGTCTAAGATTGGTAATAACCCACTGCACACGACACACCAAGATTGTTTCAGTTGAACAACCATTGCTGAGTGAATGGATATTATAATATAATACCTGTGCAACATCATTCGAAAAGCCTTCTTTGATTAGAGCGTTTAAAATTACTCGCTTTGATGAGACCTTAAGACAAACACAAAAGATGTTCATAAGCACATAATCTCTAATATCCTTTTGTGGATAAATATTCTAACTTACCACTGTAGGCAATGTACGTAGAAATGATATAAGCTCTCGAGGATGATCCTCTCTATCTCCTCCTGCACGAACCTTTCCAGGAGTGGCATCCAACACCCAAGCCTATTAATGAATAAATTTTAGGATAATTAATGTAGATCCTAACAAGGGTCGTTAAGATATACTCCATAGACTAAAAAGAGACATACTCGGACTGGACGAGGAAGAGGCTTAGCTGCTTGCTCCACCATGCTTAAAACAACTACACAGATATCATATAAAAAAAGATTGATTAGGTTAACACGTAAGAGTAGATAATCTGGATGAAGTCAATCCATAAATGCATATCTATAAGTCACCTTTCCCTCCAAAGCTGTGACCAACAAGGACCCGAGGTGTTAACTTCAACTGAGAAACCTAAGAAATTGACGGAATAGAGAAAAAACGAACATCAGAGAAGTTATCTCTCATGAATAGTTGAACATGAAGTAGTTTGAGAAAAAAAACTTACAAGTTTTAGAACATCAGAAGCAGTTGTAGCAACAGAATGTGGACCTCTCTTCTTGAGAGACGCTGAATCACCATGGCAACGCAAGTCTACCATGAGAAACTGTGATTAAACAGGAAGAAATTAGTTATTACAAGCCAGTGTATAGTTTTTTACTTTAGTGCATTAGGTGAAACAAATACCTGCCAAGTTGGGAACTCATGAGCCAATCTTCGAGCAAAAGTGCCTATAGCAGGACCCAAAAAATGGTTTAGCTACAAGCTTTTTCCACACACATACAAAACTAAAAAAAAATTGTTAAGCTATCCTTTTGGAAGAAAGAGGGTGGCTGATTAAAGAATCTTGATGATCCTCTTTGCAGGTGAACAGATTCAAGAATGACTTGCACTGGAAACTAAGTGCACGGTTTTACTAGTACTGACCCCAGTTTTTGCCGCAGCCTAAAATTCCATGTAGAAGAAGAGCAGTAGGTGTATCTGGAACAGACTTGTCCTCCTTCCATCTCCACTTCACCTGCGTGTGGTATCATTATAACACACAGAAACAAATAGCTTCTGTCGGGATTAACCAAATATTCAAGATATTAACTTACAAGGGCCCCTTGAACAAGATCGTACGCCTGCAAAAAGAAAAACCAATCATAAAAAAAGTATGAAAACATTTTGTAGCAGAACAAGATAAGAACATCAAAGGATATACCAGGATCCGGGGAGGGTCGACAATATTTTGGCACGTGGATTGTCTTTCGTCGACTAATGCCATACGTATAGTTGTTGTTCCCCTTGCCTTACGGTTGCCATGTACCATTGCCATACTTAATCTGTCACTCTTTTTTAAGTAGAGACGTTTTTTTTTAACTGATTTGATGCCACAGAGATTAACAAAAAGAGAAGGAGAATTTAAAAAAACCTGAGAGTTTGGCCCAGTTCTGCTGAAATTAAGAGAGGTGAATGCACATGTCTTTAGTTGAGACCTCCTCAATCCACATCCACCGCTAGAGCTAGCCGTGGAGCACGAGACCGCCGCCATTACACGTCAGATCAAATTAGAAAACGACAATTCCTGATAAGGATGAAGAGGCGGAGAAACCCAAGGCAATGTGGTGGCTTCTCCTCCTCCTCTTGGCCTCTCCGTCGCTTTTCCTTTTTATCCTTCGTTGTTCGTTTTCTTTTTTTTCTTCTGGAGAATCTCTGACACGCGATGACATGTTTACCCCTTTTGTCGGCTTTTCATAGAGATCCACTTGGCGTGGTCGGTTCAGCCTCCCACCTAATTAACAACTCACATTTTTGTCTTTCTTTGTCCAAAAAGAAATCCATACGCGTTTTTTTTTTGTGCTAAAAATCATACGCGTTTCTTTTTTTTTGATAAGTATGTGAATTTTCATTAACTAGTTAATGATACAAAGGATACAATAGTTTTGACGAGATCAAACCTAATGAATCTATGGAAGCTAATTAAAGCATGGGTGTCTAAGCAAGCCACAAAAAAAGGTAAAAAAGACAGACTTAGAACAATAAAGGTCTAAACACATTCCTAAAAACATGTTCAAAGCTTGGCTAGAGAATGATGTCAACAAACAACCATATAAGCTTCAGTAGAACTCGTAGAAGCAAGAAACCGGGACCTAAATACAAGCAAACGGAGATCATTGGAGATTCCAGCCGGAGAATGGTCCGAGGAACCGCAGACCATCCTGAAGGCGACTCGTAAGGGAGACAGGCGAAGCAAGGGAGACCAAGCCTTGGTCCGGCCATCAGAACCTGGAAGAGTCTACTCCAGACGCTGTCCACTCCAGAAGGCAACAAGCCAGTCCCTGGGAATCCAACCCGAGGAAGAGTAGCCATAAGATGAAGAACGGATGAGGGCTAATTGATGGAAGCGGAGGTTGAATGGATGGACTCCGGTCCCATCACAGAAGCACCACACAAGAGAGATGGCTACAGAGCATCGAGATGGCAGGAAGTAGAGGTTGACTTCCTTCTGAAACTTTGAAAAACAGAGGAGCTGGGAGCTCCCATCAGCAGGCGAGGAAGAAAAGGACCCGACCAAGCAGAGACGAGGGGGTAACGGCACGAAACCCCACAACACCATAAACCACCAACCAGATCCGACAAACAACACGCCATGGTAGCTGTTGAGACACCGTACCAGGAAGAAGTCCCCAGCAAGAGCCTCGAGCCTGCCTTTTCATATCTGGTCAAAAGAACAGAGATGGGGAAGTTCTTACTTTAGCGACCGAACGGAGGAGACAGGGGAAGGCAGTGGAGGCGAGCAGACCAGAGTAGAAGTGGCAGCGACACACCTCATCTCCGGTGACCCTCCGATGCGGATCTGACCCAGAACCAGCTGAAGACAAACCCTAGATCTACCGACCAGACGGCGCTTCCTGAATAGATCCGGACACCCACAGACTCGCCATCTCTCCAGGGAGCCTGGGGACACACCCAAGAACCGATTTACTCGCCGGACCGGCCGCATCCCGACGAGAACCAGAGAAGATGAAGCAAGGAGAAAGTGAGGAGTCCATAGTTCGACAGGGAAAGGAGGCTTTGACTAGGATGGAGCAGAGAGGGGTGGCGACCGACGGGTAGGACCCTCCGTCGGCCACCAGAACGAAGAACACGAGGATTGCGACTAGGGTTTACAGAGATTTGAGGAAGAGAAAGAAGAGAGAGTTTTCTCTCACCTCTCTCTTAACACTTATTTTGATAAGTGATGTTTCTTTTCATCATACGCGTTTCTTGTAAAAATGAAACCGTTATATCTTAATTATTAACTTGATTTTGAACCCACACATCTGTGCGGGTATTTTTCATTTTATAAAAATATAAAAAAATCTTTCAAATATATATGATTTACATTCTATTGTTATATATTGTAATATTTTATTAATCTTAAAATTTTAATTATTTTTCCATAATATATTGTTGTAAGTTTTAAAATAAAAAAACTATTCATATATAATTTTTTATATAATGTATTTGTTATGAGTTACAAAAATATATGTTAACATTTTTTCTATAAAAGTATTATATGATTTAAAAACTTTAATTTAAAAGTGAGTGATATTTATTTATATATTTATTTGAATAAAATAATTTTTTTTAAAATAAAATATTTTCCTTTACCAATTTAATATATTTTATATTCATTTCACATAAAATTGTATTTTAATATAATATAGAATATAAATAAATTATAAAATATAACAATTTTTTATTTTTAATTAACATTAATATATATATATATTAATCACGCAATTAAATAATGCATATTTTATAAAAATATTTAAATTTCTTAATAAGATCTTGTTAGATCTTTTCTCAACAAATTTATTACTAACATCTTATTAATTATTAGAATATTCCTTCAATTATATATATTTGATTGATTAATATAAATAATTAAATATGTCATATTAATGAGATGGTCCAACATAATTTTTTCTAGTAGATATAAATGGTACTTATCTTTTAATAGAGAAGACTAGATTTTGACCCGCGCTTAAAAGCGCGGAAATTTTTTATGATTAAAAATTTATATAATTGAGTTTTGTCTTAATTTAAATAATTTTTTGGTATAAAATCAAATGCACCAAAGTTTGTGGTGATGATTGTTTTTCATTAGTTTTTAGTTTCATTTTTTAATTTTAGATTTAATTTGTTTTAAAACTTTGGTTTTTAGTTTTAAGTTTATATTTTTGATTTTCAGGTTTTGGTTTGAGTTTTTTTAATTTTTAGACCCGCTGAGTTAGTTTGAACTGATATTACCAACAAACAAATCTCAAATAATTAAACATCTAATTTAAAGCTGAAAATATGACAATTTTTTTAAAAAAAAATTTGCAATAGTTTATTTTGTAAATAAACAAAAGCAAAAAATATAACCTGCATTTTCAACTTTTGGTTTGGATTTTAGTTTTTAAAGTTAGTGTTTGGTTTTGCTTTACATATTTTTTTAAATCTATAAATTATTTAAGAAAAATAAAACAATAAATTATTTAAAAGAATATTTTGATATAAAATCAGTTCACCAAAATTTGTGGTGATGATTATTTTCGTTAGTTTTTAGTTTCAGTTTTTATTTTTAGATTTTAGATTTTAGTTTGTGGTTTTTAGTTTTTAATTTTCTACTTTTCATTTTCAGTTTTTGGTTTGGGTTTTTAATTTTTAAACCCGCTGAGTTAGTTTGAACTAATATTACCAACAAACAAATCTCAAATAATCAAACATCTAATTTAAAACTGAAAAGATGATAACAAATTTTTTTTAAAAAATTTGAAATAGTTTAATTTGTAAATAAACAAAGCAAAAAAAATATAACATGTTTGGTTTTGGATTTTAGTTTTTAGATTTGGTTTTTGGTTTTGCTTTACATTTTTCTAATCAGTAAATTATTTAAGAAAAATAAAACAATAAATTATTTAAAAGTTACCATTGAAATTTATCAAAACAAAGTGATTGTTATTTAAAATACAAAAATATATTAACATGTTTTAAAGTACATGATTTAAATAAATGATTATTAATAGATAATTTTGTTTTGTTAAAAATATTAAATACTTTTAGGGTCTGAAAATAATAATTGATTTTTTGATCTTTTAAGGTGAAATGTTTATTCAATGTTTTGGAGTTTTTTCTTAATAATAAGCCAAAAAAACAAACTATATAATTTGTTCAAAAAAATAAAATTAAGCCCAAGACTATATTCCATAAATAACCACTAGTTTAATTTAAGTATAATTATTAGATTTACATATTCCATATTTTGATGATATGTATTATTTTAGAACATTCCATATTTGTAGGAGAAAATATGTGTTTTTGGTATACACATAGATACCTGCCATATTTTGAAGGTACTTTACATTAAGGTTGTCTCTTTACATTAATTGTGTTGGATTAATTTAAGTAATACGGTTCAATCAATTATATGACTTATGTTATTTGTAACATTCTAGAAAGAGTCCAAATTTAAATGACAACTTGTATCAGTAGATAAAAATAATGACTCTATTTTAATAGAGTAGATAATGGTTACCGGTAATTTCGGCTTCCAAATCAACGATCAAATTTTGTTTTCTATAAACCATGCCCAAATCAAGTTTAAGTATCAACCGAAAAAGAGAAAGCTGTCTTTTTGCCTTTCCATAATAATCTTCCTAAAAATAAATCTTCGCTTCTCTCTCAAAATAGTAAACAAACGGATGCAAAATGATCCATCATCACCGACCTATGAAGGTACAGCAAGGTTCCATTCTTTGTTGATCAATAGATCATACACTCATAAAAACCAGTATTTACGAACTAAAGTTGATATTTTTTTACTTTTCCGATACGGTTGCATGTGTTCTCCGATGATAGATCTGTTTAATCAGATGAGAATCTGTTGTTTTAAATCGTATTCTTTTAAAGAAAGTCCTATCAATTTCACTCCAGTGTTTTTTAATTCGTGATTTTCATGCTTAGCTTGAATTTATTTAATACCAATTAATTTAATGCCTAAAATATTACAGGATTCATGAATGAATATAACTCAAGAATCACTTAACTGGCGCTGTATATTATTATCTCACTTCAGGACCAAGATAATTATGATTCACTGGATAGTGGGATCGTCCAGAAGAAAACATTAACTATGGTTATGTTTAATTCCTTTAATGATTATTGACTTTATATGTATGTTACTTGGTTCCTTTATAATGTCTATAACTCAATGCTTACGCCTAAGTGATATATCTGAAAAGATAAGTACTTCTTACCTGATGATTACAGTGGTTAGTGTTCTATGAATTTAAATAAAGGACTTTTTGGATCTTCTAAGGAAGAAAACGATGGTGAAGACTAAATGTATTTTGATGTTCAACGAACCTGCAATCTTTAAACATAGTAATTCATTAGCTTGATTCCATAAACTGAGACTGTATAGAATAGTATACCTATATATGATGTGTTCTTTTGATATTACAGCAACTTAGACAATAAAGTCTCTAATACAAACAAATATCTTCAAAGGTTCATCTGGCAGCAACTGAAGCAAAAAAAAATGTAAGTAAAAAATTAATTTTTTCGTGTATGCTTTGAATATCAAAGCTCCTCAACCTCTTTCCTGTTCAGTCAGTTGCTTAGAATTATTATTGGCTATTTGTATTTGGAAACAAAATCAATGTACATCAAGATGGTTTGCT